CAATGAAGAAAAACACAAACCGCATAAGCGCGATGGAAACGTGGAAGATTTCGTAATTTCCTGACGAGGCGGTGGCCGACCGAAGAAGTGGAGGGAAAGATCGAGGCGAGGCGAAGCGGGACGTGAATCGTTGTCAGCGGGCGGAAGCCGATGGTACGCGTTAGAATAACGAAAGTTAATTATGCGTTCCGAGTCGAAAAAGGGGGAATCGTGGCAAAAACCGTCGATAATCGACATCCTGCCGCAGTCCGTCGGTCAACTACGCCACCGGCCGGCGTAAATTTAGTCCTGGGGCCCCTTGAGCAAACAAGAAGGCTTTCGCCGACGCAAAAACCAAAGCCGTGGACGATGCTTCGACGACCACGGTATGCGGCTACTGTGGACGGTGGAAGCGGAAACCGAGACCAGCCTCAAAATCGAACCGATACACCTTTGACTCTTCTCGCTGCAACGCTCTTCCTTCGAATGAAGCGTTTGAGGAATCTCAAAAGCGTGCGCGAAGAGAACTTTTTACCACTCGACGAGCCTCTCGATACGAGGTACATCTTTTCCGTGGCATTTGAGACAATTTTCCATCATTGCGCGAGCTACGTTTCCTGTAGAGTTAGGATCGCTGAACGGATTTGTACAGTCGAATGTTTTACGTCGATAACACCGTGTTCAACGATTGGTACATATCGCGAGATCAAAGGATTAAGAAAGTCTGAGAAACGATCCATTAAAAATCGCTAACACCTAGGCCCGAGCAAAGAACAAACCAGAACGGAGAAAAAGATCGGCGAACGATCTACGACGAGGCGGGAAAATGTCGATGCGGCCGTTTCTCGAAACGAGGCTGCGGCGAATCGTTGTACCCGTCCGCGGCGCGTTTTTGCTCGATTTCTCAAAACCGATCGACCGTTCCCGATCAGGGAGCAACACGCGTATAGCTTGCACGCCAGGCGTGACCATCGACTACCGCGATACACCACGAAAAACGTGCCCGCTCGCCATGCTCAGTCGCTCGCCTCTATTTACATTGCCACCGTTGCGTTGCGTCGCGGGAAACGATCGGATCCTCGCCCTGTTACGTGCCTGCCGGTTCAGTAACGAAAATCTACCCCGTCGACGAAATTCAGTTTCGCGAATGAAACGCGTTTTACCGTCAATAAAATTTCATTGAAAAACACGAGGGAGATAGCGAGCGATTGAAACTTTTGTTAGACGTTCAAGGGAGTCGAACAGTTAATATTTCTTTCGAACGAGACTGGATGAATCTAGTAATTAATAAGAACAATCAAATAGCCATTAGCACCGGGTGGAACGCCACCCCATAAATTCGGCGCGTTCGCACTAACGATCGAACCGCATCGTTTCTCGACGAAACGAAACACAAATGCACGCGCACGTACATAAGGAATTCTTCCGGAATCAGGATGTATCTCCCTAGTTCTGTCTCTTTTCCTTCTTCTGGTTCTCCCACCGGGGGTGGCCAGTGTCTCGGGGGCGGTCGTATATCATCCACCCTCCCTCCGCGCCCTCCCTCCCTGCCGGGGGGAGACTGCGGGGGTGGAGACAAAAAATCTAGCCGAGCAAAAACTATCATCAGTGCTCGGGTAAAGCGAGCTGAACGCCTCCTCTTCTTCTTTTCTATCCGCGTTTGCTCTTCACGTCTTTCATTCCTCTCTTATACATAGGTACACATGTACATACGTGTATTCTCTTTCACCAATTTCGGCAAAGGACGCGAACCGAAACTCCGTTTACTCGTCTTGTCTCGTTTCGAGTTCATTAGGTTCTCACAGCTTGCCTTTGACAACGTTTAATGAGAAAAACCCTCTCATTGCAGAATTTAAGAGAACCGTTGTCTATTCCGAACGCAAAATATTTCTGCGTTTCAAGGAGTTCCAATCTCAATTAATCCGTAGGACAAGACGTACAGCCGAGGCAGTTCGTTTACGACGTCTCGCTAATTCTTCTGAGATTTACCTCCCCCGGGAGAGCAGCTTCGTGGAAGAAATTTAATCGAACGTCACGTTTCCGCGCACGATGAAATATCGAAATCGTTCGAAATCCGTTTATGTCGGTCCATAAGCTACTGACTCGTTGGGTGCTCCGAGCTCAGGGTGGAACGCTAACCCGACGACTCTCACGGTAATTGACATCCTCAATTTTACGAGGTTCAATCATTTAATTGAAATACTTTTTCTCGTCGCTTTACGATACTCCTTTCCCAAGATAAAAACACCGTCGAGGAACGAGCATCTCTCCAAAATCTGTTCAATATATTAGTTGTTCCTCCACGGTTTTTAAGGTTTCATAGTAAATAATGAATAAGCAACGGGGAAAGAGAAAACGAGGGAAGAAAGAAAGTGTCAAGTTGTTCTGAAAAAGGAGCGAGGGGTTGGGTAGTTGGTTCCACTCTATGCCCGCTGCAAAGGCCTCCTGCAATGAATCAACTTATTTAAGGGTAGTTGGATTTCGCGAGTCGATGCACGACGACTACGAGCCACCCTCCTTTCGGCCCTCCTTCTTCAACGTAGTACGCCTAGTGGAATGATTTATAGTTTTCCTTCCGTGGCCACCCATCCGCCGCCCCTTCCCCCCGAGCACCCCTAGCGTAAACGACACCCTCTGCCAAATACGTACGCAAAATAGTCAGAATTTGCTGGCCACCAACCCGAGTAACACTGAAATCCTTAGTAGATGAGGGGTGCGCCCGTTTATGAAGTGACTCGATTTAGATATTTCCAAATCGAAGCTCGTCTCGTGTTCAAAATACGAAAGAACGAAAATGCAACGTATTAAATGCGATGAAAGAAGAGATAAGACGAAGCTGCGGGTTTTCGGTAGCTAAAGTAGGCAGAAGCTATGGTCACGGATGGTGGCAATAATTAGTCATTTATGAGGCCGTAAGTGGGGCCGCAAATCGGTCCCTCTCAAAGGGACAACGACGCAGGGACGCCACGGCGTTATCTCGAAATTATTAATCATATCGTAACAAAGAAAGAGAGACGAGCGTGGAGAAAGGGAGAAAGAGGCGCACGAACCACCGACTCCATGGACTTATCTGACACCTTAATCAATTCCAAGTTATTAATTACGGACCCTGCCCTCCGCGGCACCATCAAGCCCCGTGGCACACGCTTCAGAAAGCCACCGGAGCATTGTCTGCGGCTCACAATGCAGTGTCAACACGATCAGAGTCATACTTTCGAGTCATTAATAATTATTTAGCAGATCGGAAATTCCGACGAGTCTCAAGGAATCCTGAGACCGTCCGCGTCGAATTTTTAGCTGCTCCGAGGAACGTATTCTTTCTAGCTAGAAGAACAACGAGAGGTTTCATACATTTAAGAGGATTCGAGCTTTCATCCTCGCGACGCAACACCAACGGGAAAACTTAACGACCAACGAATCCATTCGGGACGCGACGCGGCGCGTTGGGCCAATAAAAAGGCGGAACAGCCCTCTTCTTGATAGGAGTTGAACGATCGTCTATGCAAATACCTAATCCTTTCGCAGATCCATTCGAGTGACGTTGACGGATTGGCGGGAGGACTTTGTTCAGAGGCGAGCCCGAACAGATTGCAACGCGCGCGACACCATTTGTTTCTCCCTGGAACGCAGAGAGCTAGGAGAACCTCACGGTGGTCGATTAGCGAAGTCTCCGTTAATCACCGATAAAGAGAATGAAAACCGGACGACGTCTTTCCTTTCAGCCTTCCTCTTTTTTAGATACGGGGAAAAATGAATACCTGAATTTTATATTGAAAGCGAACGAGCGTTCATAAAGTTTTGGGAACGTGAAACGCACCGAAGCTCGTTAATCGCTACCTTGAAAAAAGGCTACCGAAGGATTAATCATTAGAAACAATGGCACCGACCCGGAAAAATATTTTCCGGCTTTTGCCTTTGCCCGACAAAGGGTAAAGTTTTTACAATGAATCGGGCAGACGAGAAATAAAATCCTACATACTTCAAATTTCTGCCAGTATTCCATCCCTCCCGGTGCTATTTTAAATACTTGACGTAGGAACACTTGTTTCAAGTTTTCGCAACCCCTTTCGACCTGCACCGAAATCAAGCGTGACATGACACACGCCGTAATCCGCGTAAAGGGTTGATCCCAGTTTAGCCGGCTGTCCGTAAACCGTGGAACTCGCTGGACTTAAGCCCTGGCAAATTTGAATCCGTCAATCTTGAGCATCCAGGAGGAATACCCGTCCGGCATTAAAAGTTTTTTTCCGCCGGTATCAGAAAGATTTAAGCCTACCTCGGTGCGGACTTAACTTCGTTAGAATCAACGACGACACTTCGGACGAGTGTCACAGTACCTACTTTTTTACGCGTATAAAAAGTTCTGCACAAATCTATGGATGAGCAGCGATAAATCATCCGTGGACGTCGAAATGTCCTCGATCTTCGTTCGACCAGGCAATTAGGCGGCCGAAAACGTTGCGACTCGACGAACGCGGATCGGAGATCGTGCGGAAAAGCGAGGCGGAAAAGGGAGAGAAAACGAAACGACGAAATTACGTTGCGTCCGATGAGCGTCGAATAAGGCGAAACGGTATTAAGACCCGTTTCCCCGAGGCTGATGTATCATTTACCAGCGGATCGTTAGGCGGTTTCAATTAGTTTTCCACGCTGCCTCCCCTTGGTCTAACATCAGCGCGCAAGGATGGGGAGGCCGGCGCAGCCCTAATCGCGCGGTACAGTTTTTTCTCATAATTAGGAAAAACTCGTTAATGCGAGTAGCCTACTATCTCCTTCCTCCCTTTTTATTTTTTCTTTCTTATTTCCTCGCTTGTTCTTTACTAGTACTCTCTCAGAGGAAGGCTTAACACCCGCGTGTCAAATGTACGAGAAAAACCGAATTCGATGAAGAAACGACGTTTCATGCATGCATGAATATTTACAATATTTTTACATTATGCTACTTCCTGGTTTGCAAATCTCTACGATCACGATTTGATCTTTTGCAAGAAAATAAAATGAATATCATTGAATACACTCACCGAACGAAGGAACGCCAACTGTCCAGGAATCCTCTCTCCACGATGTAGAATAGTTTCTCCGGTTCTTCACACTTAAATATCTCGTTTCTATTCCTGACGTGGTACAGATCAATCAGCTCGTCCTTCTGTTGTTTCGCCTTTATCTTGTCGTCTTTCTTCGCCTTCTGCGCGTTCTCCATCTTCTCCTGCACAACGAAGTACCTCAATATTAATATACAAAAATCAACAAATACAAATTGTATGTCTATCTAAATTCAAACTACGTACTTCGCAAATTGAACACGACGCAGACCCGATGAGGTACTCCTTCGATTGTGGAAAATATTTTCGAAGTATCGTCCAAGCTTCACGAGGCACTATCTTTCTCGTCGAATCCGGTGTCTTCAGCGAACCATGCTCGCAAAGTAAATCCTCGTTGAAATAAAGTATAACTTCGTTCTCCTCGCCTTCCCTAATTTCCGTCAACGTTTCAGTTTCCTTGTTCCTGGTCATCCTATCTTCCCGGGGACTATTCGAATCTTGACAGTCTTCGTTCTCGATCGCCTGCTCCATATCTTCAGTGAACTTCTCCATCGCGAGTCTTCGCCACGATTTTAACGAATCAGCAGCCACGATGTAGCTTGTTTCATTCCTATAAATAATAAACGAGACGGTATTAAATTTTCGTTTATGAAGTTTGCTTTTGTTGGAGCCGATATAAGATACTCACGGTTCTTTGAAATTTCGAACCAGTTCGCTAACTTCTTTGTGGTCTCGTTCAAGCGACATCTTGAAGCGAAGCAATTTGTAACGGCGTTTCACGCAAACTTCGCACAAAAATGTTTCGTCCAATCGAGGCCCCCCGCGATATTTCTCGTAAAGCAAATCGGCAGCCGCTGCAGGTATACACTTCGCGCGGTTTACTTTTAACGGATCGAGTCGAAAATGCGTGCACATCAACGAAGAATTGTCTATGGGCGGTACTTCGTCATTGGGCACGTGCCCGTTAAGCCACTTCGATAACCAATCGCTTGAAATCCACTGATACTTTTCCCACGAAACGGTGTTCGAAATAATATCGTACATATCTATCACAAGTTGTCTCTTCAAGTTCTGATCTTCCACCTCCTTTTGCTGCGAGGAATATTTTTAATGTAGGACACGTGTCATCTAATTATTTAAACTCGATTGAAGCTGTTTCAATGCTTACCTTCTCTTGTTGAATAGCCAGCAAGCTTAACTCGTGTTTCACATTTTCCTGCCTCACCAACTCGCGCAATGTTGGACTCACTTCCCAGCTTTCAAACTCCATCTATAAAACGATCAACCATATTTACGTAAAATATCTACAAGACAAAAGGAATGAGAAACAAAGTATACTTGCCTCTTCGTACAAATCACGTTCACCGCAGCTCATGGCTCTGTGCGCAGCACCGTTTAAATGTTTATAGTCGACCTTAGAGTTCTGTACAACTAGTTTCTTGATATGCGCGTTCTGTTGATTTTCTTTATCGTCGAACTCATCGTGCTTACCGTTTCGTTCGTTAAAAACAGTATCCACTTTCTTAGGTAGAGACACGACTACGTTTTCTTTTTCTTCCGCTTTTTCTTCCACTTCCTGTTCCACTTGATCGCTGATTTTCGATGGTTTCTCGAAACTGTTTGCATCAGAAGCGCCGGGAACTGAATCGCTCTTCTGTTTTCCTTCGTCCAAAGAATCCGATTTTACTTTCGTCACCTCGTGGGCACCGTTGGTTTCTGACTCCGATCTTTTCGGCTTGCTCTTCTTCGTATTAATTGCTCGCTTCTCCGATGTAACTCTTTTATAAACCAACATATACGCAGTATTTGATGACAGGAAGCCTTTCGGTATGCGTCCTCGTTTTACAACTTTCGAAGTTTCTATAATCACATCTCATTAGTGTCTTATTATACAATTACTATAATACGTATTGTGGTTGCACTCACCGGTAGCTCCATCCTCGATTCTTTTATTCTGCATTTTTTCCACCTTATCGTCGCTAAATTGATACCATTCTCCGTTCGAGTTACAAATATTCGCAATATAATGACCCGAATGGGCAGACGGACCTTTGTGACTCAAAACTGCGACGAGACTGTAGAAATGCGTTTGCGGTGGAGCCCTAACGTATTCCGACATATCGAAATCCTCAGGAAATTGTATGAAAGAGTTTAACTTCCTTTTCTGTCCGGAATCTCTACACAAGAATAATGCATTTTGTTCAGTACACTGTGTATCAAACACGTATACAAAGACATATAATCGTGTACCTATGAAACACGAAGCGCATCAACTGTATATTCAACGTTTCTGGGAGAGATTCTAAACGTATAAATCGGCGAGCATCCTTTTTGTCGTTGCACGTGACGCAATGATATTGATTCGGTCCGGTCAGTTGTTCCACGGACAAGTATTTCTCAACCGCTTCTTTCAACGTGGCTGCTAGCTGAAGATCCAGCTCGTAGAACGTGGTGGACGTTGGATATTCAGTTCCGCATTTCGAGCAACTGCGTCAGACAATAAAACTCGCGGTTATTTAGAATGAATGATCGTCTCTCGGTCAGATCAGTTGATCGCACCAGTCACCGCAGCGAGCAACGTGTCCTACCATGTTCTCATCGTCAAGATCATCAGCATCATCTCGTTTAGGACAATTCTCATGTTTTCCACTTCAGAAAACCCACCAATTGATATAGCTGTATTTCCCTTGCGTCAGCTTCTGCAGCATCTGCTTCAGGTCTGAGTTTTGTTGGAGTTTCCCTTCGATATGACAGAGTAGCAGCTTGGAGAATTCCTGTGCGTCCTGCTGAGTTCTAGTGTCCAACGACAACGCGATCGCAAGATTCAGCGGATCGAGCAGCCGACGATTTCCGAATTGCATCATTGCAAATATATACTGCAGCTGGCCTACCGCTGTCACTGGATGATACGGCGCTCCCAACTTCTCCGCTTGACACGCCGCCTCCTTCTCCTCCGGATCTTCCTCGATACTCCATTTGTATATTATCCTCCTGAAAATATGGGACAATATTTCTTAGCTAAAAGATGTATTAATTACATATAGACGACCAGTTGGCAACGTTGATGAATGGCTCACCTCATATCTTCATTGTGGAACCACATTTGAATTAAACTGTTAACATAACAGGTTGCACCTAAATTCTTTAAACCCACATACTGTGTAGGATCACGTAGTTCGGATAAAGAACTTTCTAAGGACATCACTTCCGTAGGTTGTGATTTTATGTACTTCTCTTCTCCTAATCCCGTCAAGCATTGTGGATTATTTGTGCAGTTACGTCTGAACACAGAAAAAAATTAGACCACAACATTAAAAAAGACAATATGTGTACATCCTCAAACAGAGTTCAACTTACTTGCAATTTTTACATGCTTTTAAACCTATCCTATAGGCAGTCTCCAAATGTATTCTTTCTATTTGATCTGACACCACACCTTCCACCCAAGCCCATGCTAATTTGTCTAAATCAGTCTTTTTCGTTGGCGGCATTTTCACCTAGAACAATCAAAATAAATATTCTAAATCTCTAAAAGTAGTCAATGAATTTTAGAAGGGGTAACAACGTATCCGTTTCGAGTTTAATCAATTCTATAAGTTTTAATTCATGCTATTAAAAAAACACTTCGGTCACAAAACAAAAATGGAACGAAAGTAACGCTGGACCCAATCAATTTTATAAAAGTATACATCAAACAATGTGTACCGGTCTGAGAACAAAAAGTATCCGCGAGCTACTTAATTCAAATTCAATTCCGAGTAAACAAGGGAAACAATTCTTCCGTATGTCCGACAACAAATTTATAATCGTATACGTACATAAAAGCACTGTAGCGTTGAGGTTATAAAAAATGCCGCTGAAAGTTTTGTAGCCTGCTGATTTCCTTTTATAACATTATCCGGATACAGGCGAACCTTAACTCTTTCGAGAATTCACTGAGCTCGATCATTTATGAATATATTCCGCGAACAGATAAAAAAGTATTATCAAAACACTGTAATCGTTAGCGATACACATTGACCGCCATTGACTGCCATGGCCATATGCAATCCGTTTCGCTCCAGGCGCGCGTCAAATCAATCTCCGTATACCTAACCACGTAAAATGCGAAAGCGAAACCATAAACATTTGTTCGATTCTTATTATAATCGTATTAATATGAAAGATCAATCGTGAAATAATGAAATACGGAGCAAACGTTGAATACATAAATCTTTTTGCTTCTCTTTGTACAGTTTTATTGTTTTAGAGAGGTTGGGAATGTCTCAAGACAAAATAGGTAAGAGTATTGGCTATTATTTAAGCATGAGTAACAAATGAACGAGGAATGAAGAAAACTTTATGTTTGTTTTACTTACAGAGGGAAGCGATATCCTCATAGAGTTTTTGGAAGTAGCATTCAATCATGTTCTATTCTTCAGGAATTTGTATCCCAAGGAAATATTTAGACAGAAGAAAATCTACAGCACGACTGTGTTCATTTCTGAACATCCAGAGCTCAATGAGTATATAAAAAATGTTCTGTGCACAATTAGAGAGCTGGTGAAGGAAGACAAGAACAGTGTCAGGTCTATCAATCTTGTTTTTTACAATAAGAGGAAACAGCCAGTTGAGAAATTTGTATTTGATCTTGCTAAACTACAAAACAGTGCAGAGTATGTACTTAGAGAATATATTTTAACAACTAACAACGATATTAAGCTAATAAGTATTGTAACATTTGTTTTAGAAAGGATCCTTACTACTTAAGAACAGAAGAGGCATTGAGAACAGTTTGTTTAAAGTTATCAATGTGTGAAGCTTATCTGAAACCCTTGCCAGAAGATTCGTCGTTCTCTATAGAAATTCAAACATATGAAACTGCGCACATTGCTTTGAATGAAAATCCCTGCTGTGAACATTTCCCATGGATTATTGATGAAGATGCTCTTGAAATGACACAGAAGAACTTGCTCCCATTGAAAACTGTAACAACAGATTGCCTTAATTTACAAATGTACGTCATTGAAGATGAAAGTAGTAAAGAAATTGATTGATTGAGACAATTGATCAAGAGAATGAACACATTTTTTTTATTCCATTCTATCACATATCATTTTCCATTAAGATTCAACTGAATGTATTCTATTCTTAAAGAATACTTTCAAATAAATGAAGAAATAAAGTAAACCACTAAGGAGAAATTACTAAGGAGTGGTAAATACACGAAAAAAACGGCAATTTTTAACGCCCTTTAGAATACATTGCCACCGAAACAAAAAAATAGAAAGTAAGAATGAACAGTTGCCAGATACACGAAAAGTCCTGTACAATTTCCTTCTAACTCCACTCGTTAAGTATTTGACGATGGACGAAATAATTAATCGATTACTCTTGAAGTGTTCGAGACAGAAGAAAATTGTATACGACCTTTCTGGTAGGTAATAGCAATACCTACTTTTATTTGAAGCATTTTTCGAAATTTTGAAAAAAAATTTTCGTTTTTCCGAGATTTTGCCGGTTACCCCTTCAGATTTCGTTCATATTCCGTTTAGTCATTTGGTCAAGAATCGTGAAATAAAAAATCCAATCCCTCAGCTATTACACACGAGACCATCGAACGAACCATCAAAATCATTCCAGCGAAACGCAAACTAAAATATAAACAATTTCGAATAGCTGATGTGATGCGCTCGGCGCAAAGTACGTCAGAAACGCTCGCGCTGTACTCCCCAGTCCAGGCGTAGGTGCAGTCAATCGGAATTGTAAAATCATTGGCTATCCAAACTTCCGGTTCCAATTTGCATATTCGCTCTTTTTCGATTTATGGACAACCGTGAATAATTATTCGGGTGATTTTAAAGAGCGTGACCACTGACTTATAGTAGTCACCCCCAGGATTGGTCATTTGGTCAAGGATTGTAAAATAAAGATGCCATGATTCGATTCCATTAATTTGTTAATCACATTTAAAATACAAATATTATTATACAAATATAATACAAATATTATAAAATACAATTTTCTAACGAATGCATAAAACCCGCAATGTAACGATGAGCAATGTTTCTGAATACCATTAGATTACGAACAACTTATTATGCATGCTTATACAACTACAATATTTATAAACGTGTTAAACAACATCACGTGCGATAGCCGTGCGGAGACGTAATGATGAGTAGAATCCGTGGATTTTTTGACTTTCTGTCAAAAACCGAGCACGCTGACGCTGAGGAAGATCGACGCCGCAGCGAACACTGACCTCGCTCTACGCTGGTTGACTCTGTGTCCTTGGCCTTGAAACGAGAACGTGTTTCGGGAGATGAAAACCAACCGCACAGGTGGAACGATAATTGCTCGGCCGTCATAGTAAGGCTTGCCTTTACTTTCGCTCCGTTACGGAATCGGAGAACCTGCAAAGAGGAGCGAACGCGGTGTTAGGTAACGCGAGTCGCGTTCCTCCTCATCTCCCTCGTGTGTCAAGACGATCGTCTTTAATTTCAATTTCGCGAGAAGCTAACAAAGGCAGATGTCAATCCGGAAATTCGAAAATCGTACTTTCTTTACTGCCCAAATTCACTTTACAATTAATATTACTTAATTTACACATTATTAAAGCTTCATTTTTTAAATTCCCGTTTTGCGATCTTCTTTGCAAGGAATTATTCATCGCAGGTAACTGGAAAGAATTATTCAATTTACGTCATCTCGATTTACTTGTTTACTGACGCAATTAACTTCAATTGCAGCGGTGCTTGCGTTTAATCTATTTTGCTTCGGTCATTGAAACCCGGTTCGTTCACTTCGTATATTTTATAGCAAAACGAATGTAATCTTAGTTAATATTGCCTCTAAAGGCGTACGCGAGTCGGTGAATCATATAGGAAGAGATTAATCCCTTGGCACAGATGCAACTAAGAAAAGAGATGATTTAAGGGATGATCAATTTAATCCGCTTAAATCCGATGTGTCACCCGGTTAGTCTTTGAACTACGAAAAGTCCGGCCAGACCGGACTGTCACATCGGCTCAAGGTCTGTTTAATTAAAGACAATAATCTGCTCTCGATGTCAAACGTTGCTTCCGTCGTTTTCTAACAGACACCGCTTCGACGTACGGAAGATCTTTTAATCGATTCAAGGATTAGCTTGGAGTGGATCGTAGAAATGATATTGGGAAGAAGAAGGGACTTGGTTCAACGATTGTGGGCAGATATGTGTCAATCCGTTCGCGAGATGATTGACCAGCTTACGCAATCAGTTTCTTTATCTCTCAGAATTCGCTCTTCGTGAACCGCGCGTCGCGTTTCCGTGTTGATCGCGTACTGACGCGAGACGAGTATCGTAATGTGAGCGCCGCGGATGTGGATGGTCCCTCAATCGCGGGAACGAAGAGACCCGCGTCGATCGTCGTGCCAACAGATAAAACTCGACTTGCATTCAGTAAATACGAGTCTCCGCGTAACTCTTTCTTCTCGGCTGCAACTACACTCTCCTCTTCAAGTGAACTTACTGTCCAAACTTGGTAATTTTGATTCATTTATTATCATCAGTGCGACCATCGAGGTCCTTCGATTTTATAATTCCATTTATTTGAACAATTTTTCGTTAATAATTAACTGACATTCTTGTTGTCTGAGCAGAATAGTGCAGCGTTGTGGTGGAATTTATCGTCCACGTTGAGAAAGTGCAGTGAAAGGATATGCTGTACTTGTTCGATATTCGATTCTGAGAAGTCGATCGAGCTGGGCCCGTTTATCGTCTAATTCGAGCGCGCGTAATTTATGTACAACCGCAAACTGTTTTTTGTGGAGACGAAGAGGCATGCATCTGTTGGAGATACAGGATAAATTAGAGAACGAAAGGATCCTTAACTGGGAAACAGTGAATTGTATATTGTTGATAAAAGTGTTTCTGGTCTACTTTGGGGATTTCTGGTTGATGACACTCTTTCTGAGTATTTGGCAAGCATACTCGTGGGAAGAATTTATTCACTTAGGACACTGAGTGTCTTGCAATTTATTTAATGATAACAGGTAAATTATTTTCAATATCGAATGTTTCTTCTATTTTGAAAAAATTGTCCGATTTTCCAGGTAGCAAATCTTCGTGATTTATTCACCGACGACTAAGCATTAAAAAAAAATATTAGCAATGAGCATCGTAAATGGAATGAGCGGTTCCAACGGGCATGCAGAGGAGCATTTGGAAACCAAGGTAAATTGTTATCTAAGATATATTTTTATCGTGCCAAAAGACATGTCTCTGAAGTAGATTCGTTACCCTAGTCTCAATATGTACTCGGCGAATTACGTTTAAAATCGCTAGCATACTCAGAGGTTACAGAAGTCGCTACTGGGAAGCGGGTCATTTATCGCTATAAAACTTATTGAAAAAGTAATCAACAGTCCATTAGTTCAACGATCATCGAGGTTTACGTACATGTCTATTATCTTAGAAATTAATTGCTGTTCTTATTTATTATATTTGTCGTTCACTTATGTTGTGTAATAACATTTACACTCGCGTTATTAAGTGTATAAACTAATTGCTTATAGATGGAAGAGCCTGATGCGACAGAGGAGAAGAGACGAGAGAGGAAAGGCGTCATGTGCCAGGTACATTTTATTGAAAATAATTAAGACCTTACCGAATATGCTTAAATGAATTTTTATCAGCAGTCCGATAAATACATATAACGCGAAAAGAAAATATTTGCCTCGAAATTCTTGCACAATTAATATTATTCCGCTGAATCGCAAAGGTCTTTGACACGTGTCAAGTATCAAAATAATATTAACAACGATAATGGAAGTAGTTTTGTATGTACTTTCTCGCTCTGATAATTTCATTTTATCACTGAGTATCGTGTCGAGTGAGTCAATCCGAAGAAAAGATTTCAATTGTTCGTGTCAACTGAACCGATGCCACGTACGTGACATAATAAAGGATTAGGGATTGAATAGTATCTTCTAATCTAGTTTGGCCTATATCTCTGCTTTATCGCGTTTTCGGATTCTCTGTCATTTTATAATTGATTCCACCGGTAATTGACAACTCGATGAATTACTGAAAGATGGTATCTCGAGACTTCTCCTAAGCTCAAGTGACATACGCTGTTGAATAGAATAATGTAAGAAGAGGAAAGAGGGGGAATCTCTATTACGTAAAAAATTCCGCTTCTGTTATCTGTGTAATAAATTATATGAGCCGCTTAATTCCTGCCGTTAAGAGCCGCTACTTTTTCTTTTTTTTTTCCCCTGTATCTCGATGCTTGTACAACATCGGATTAATCTTCGAAGAGTTATGTCGAAGCTAAAAATACATTTCAGATCCCCGTTGATCATATCAACGAAATTGTTATTAATCGAATATTTATATGTTTCTCGCAATAATGTACTTAATGGATCGTCGCGCACGATTATACCGCTAACGGCGTGTAAATATAAATGAGAGCAGGCTTCGGTCGGATGCGTTAAATTGCAAGTGTACACAGGAGCGTATTAGAAAGATTTGCGTAACACGAAATATCGTGATATTATCGAATGCTCGACTCAGCTTTACGTAAACCTTGTGGTGACACTTCAAGGCTTAATTTAATTATTCCTACGGCTGTCTTGCTCGTATTCTGGGTGTACCGCCGTTCCAAACCGGTTTCGATATTGGTCACATGAGAGCGAGACTCGAGATACGTGTAGTAGGGTTGTCTGGGAAAAAAAAGATCCCATTGACTGGCTTCTAGTAGATTTTACTCTTTGGCCCCCTTGCTGTCGAATCCATTTGAATACGTTACACGGGGAGCGTTAGGACTTACAATTAGAACAATATCCCTCCAGATCTTTATTAGATTCTCTTTAATGGAAATAAGACTGCTCTCAAGAAACATTATTAATTGGCAAAATTTTTACTTTAACAATTTTGTAAAAGTAATGGTAATCGTAAGAGATGGGAATAGTTTCATCATTTCATGGTCAGTTACGAGATGCAGAGCTTTATGTAACATGGAAATCTGAATGCACATACATTACAGAAAAACTAATGGGTCGGTCTAAGAATTTCCACAAGGATTAATTAATTAATCTGATACAACCGATGCCGTTTACAATGTGTCATGACTATCGACAATTCTATATAGAGCATTCATTAAAATCTGTTTGCTTTCAGATAATTATATCTCTGTGCGCGCAGTCCTCGGTTTTGGGACCATCAATGGCTTTCGGATATAGCGCAGTTGCACTGGGACCGTTAATGGCACCCACCAGTGACGTGAAAATCAACGAGGTCCAGGCAAACTGGATAGGTGAGCATCAATGGAACCGAGAAATTATTGGACATCGAATTTGTACCTGAATTTGATTCGTAGCCACCGCAACGGCGCTAGGGATTCCGCTCGGTTGTATAATCTCCAGTTACACCATGAGACGTGGGAGGCGGCTGAGTCTATTAATTACGTCCATCGTGTCCATCGTCGGCTGGATCGTTATATATCTCGCTGAAAGCTACGTACAAATTCTTGTGGGTAGAATTATTACCGGAATCGCGACGGGTACAGCATCGGTTCCGGCCACGGTTTACAGCGCCGAAATCGCGTCACCCAAGTGGCGATCGACGATGGTGACTTGGACCAGCGTAGCCATCGCTACCGGTGTCTTGATCGTTTACGTCTTTGGCTATGCGTTCAAGGTAATTGATCCGTCAAAACGTTATCTATCAGCTGTTATCTTTTCCTCGAGAAAGCGTTTTTGAGGTCCACGGTTTGCTCACGTCTCTCTGATTTTTAAAGGACAACTGGCGACTGGTGGCTCTGATGTGCTCCCTATTCCCAGTAGCCTCAGCTGTGCTGACCTTCGCTGTCGTCCCAGAAACCCCGATCTGGTTGCGAGACAGGCATCGTCCGGATGAGGCGTTACAGGTGTTAAAAATGTTTCGCGGTATTCCGAAAAGTGCGCCGCCCCCGCCCGAGCTTTACCAAGAGCTGATGCCGCGGCCTCTCCGAAAGAAGCAGAAACTGTTGAAACACCTGTTGAAGAGGAACGCGATGGTCCCATTCGCGATCATGCTCAGCTACTTCTTCTTCCAACAGTTCTCAGGCATCTTCGTGGTGGTCTACTACGCCGTAGACATTATACAGAGCGCTGGGATCACTATAGATCCGTACTTGGGAGCGGTTTTGATAGGATTCACCAGACTCGTAGGGAGTTTATTCGTCGCGGCCGTGTCGGGAAAATTTGGAAGACGGAAACCGTCGATCGTTTCCGGGTCCGGTATGACGATCTGCATGGGGATACTCTCCATCTATTTACTGATGAAGGACAAAGGGTACTCTATAAACGACGGCGGCCTGATTCCCGTCGTATGCGTCCTGATGTACATTTTTGCCAGTACGATGGGCTTCCTGGTGATCCCGTTTGCCATGGTAGGCGAAGTCTATCCCATGAAAGTGAAAGAAGTGCTCACGGGACTGACGACGTGTATCAGTTACGTGTTCAGCTCGATCACTGTTAAAACTTATCCGGATATGGAAAGTATCATGGGCAGACACGGGGTTTTCATTTTTTTCACGGTGATGTCGTTGCTGGGAACGTTGTTCGTTATGCTTCTTCTGCCTGAAACTAAAGGGAAGACGTTAAGAGAGATCGAGGACATGTTTTCGAGGAAGAAGGAAACCGTGGACTCGCAAGAGAAGGAGAGGATGATGGATCTCAAGGATGTCTCCGCAGGAGTGTAATTTATCGAACGATGTACGAGAGTTACTTAAACATTCCCATTTCTCAATCACTGCATTATTATTGCCATTTGTGTTCATTCACTTTTAATACAGGGTAAATGCAATGCAATATTTTTATACAATAAATGCAAAAAGTGTTCATTGAGAAAGACTAATATTAATAATATTACCATCAGTTTATACCACAGACTTGGAACGTGCTTGAGACAATGAGTAATAAATGTGAAAATCTTATTTATTACTTTTATTATTAAAATCTTAAACAATAAATTAACAAATGTCGTAACAATCATGACAATTAAATAACAAACACGATATAACGTAGAGACGTGGACATACGAAAATGTGCGGGGGTGATAGAGAATGTGACGATAAAAATGATGATAATTCTAACTACTGATAATAGTGATGATAGTAATAGTAAGCGATATTATAATATTAATATATATAATAATATAATAACGGAAATAAATTATCATCCGCGATTAGCTCGCGGAGAAATTGACTTCCCTCTTTGAGGAAAGTCATTCAGTCGTGTAATAATCGATTACAATAAAAAATCAATTTCGCCCCTTAATTTGAAACTTCATTTTCATTAAAATTTTCCTACGCAAGCATCGTAAGAAAATCAGAACCGTGACAAAGCTTTAACTTTCAATCTTCTTTTCTAAATAATTAACTCAACTCGTCACGATTCCAAAACATACGCGCTATCGACTTCGAATTTGATAATACTAATTTTCTAATCGTGACCGCTGATATCCAATACTGGATGAAAATCGATGCCGATACCGTCGAGTATTAAGAAACGATGCTCACCGTTCACCCGCTCCGACGGGGCGCAAATTATACTTCCTAATTAGGATTTAGAAATCACGATTGAACGAGACCGCAAAATCGGACTTCTCAGCGCTAACCGTTCGGGTTCTCGCGTCTCGTTTTTCAAACGAGCCGTTATCAGATGACGATCGGACGCCTACGTACGTGATCGTTGGATCAACAGAAAATTCGCGGTATTCAGCGACTTCTTCATGAATCATTGGTCGATTCATCGCATTGAAATTGATTGATACGACCGATTCGAAGAATAATAAAATGAGAATACGAGAAGTAATAGAAAGCCACTTTGAAACCGCGAATTACGACTGTCATCTGATAAGGCTCGAGCAATAATTTTTGTCATTCTTCCTATAATTTCATTTTTTCTATAGACTTATTAGATAGAGTCATTTCGTCGTAGGAATACGCGTATATAGAAGATGCTATAAGAAAAAGGCAAGAAGATGACCGGCAAAACTCGATTTACCTAAGAGTTTTAAAATAGATTCGCAGTGAAGTCAGTCCTCTTCTTATCAGTCCAAGTTTTCTCTCCTGACTCTACAGCCGATCGTTTCCGATACGTTTACCAAGCTATATCTCCACTCGAGAGCGTTCTTCTCTCGAGTGGACAGATACCCTGAGAGAGAGAGGGAGAGAGAGAGAGAGAAAGAAACGATCGATATAATTTGCTACCTTAACTTAAACACCTATAGTAATGTCAGTAAAGCTCTCGTTGACAAAGGAGGCCCGGACCCTCCGTCCTGGGACACGTACCATTCGAACTTCTGATAAAGCTTTGTTTAAAAAATCGGGAGCCTCTCTTCAGCTGATTCCTCGTCGCTCCTAATTTCTATGAAGCTCCGTCCACCGTGGATTCTCGTTCGCTCGGCGAACGATTTCGAATACCGTGAAAGCTTCCTTGAAGCATCCGATGTTCTCGAATCGAGTCAGTCCTCTTCAAGTCTCAATTTTAACGTATTTCGAATCGGCAATTGAAAGTCTTTTCGGGCAGAGCCAAATTCCCAATAGGAATCGTGTAGTTCTCCTTCGGCACCGGCATTATCGTGTAATTCTTCAAGATCGCGGCCAGGACACCGAAGCTCACGTACTGAACCAGTTTGTAACCCATGCAGGACCTCCGGCCGCCACCGAACGGCAGGAAGTGTTCCGGTTTCAATAGTCGTCCGTCCTGCACGAATCTCTCAGGCATGAATTCCTCCGGTGAGGTCCACAAATCCGTGGACATGTTCAGTTGATAATTGTTCAGGAAAATGAACGTATCCTTCTTAATTCTGTAACCTGGAAAAGCGAAATCCCGACTGATAAGCTTCTGGATTTACAGTAAAATTAACAGTTAGAATCGGATAAAGCAATTTTTTAAAACTTACCAGCGATAGAACTGTCCTGATTAGCGACGTGCGGAACGATAGGGCTTGCGATTATCCTGATAGTCTCCAGAATGATGGCTTCTACGTAGGGCAAGGATCTTCTGTACTCCAGTCCAACATAATTGTCAGTGAAACCAAGGGAATCGATTTCTTTTTGCGCCAGTTTCTGAATGTCTGGCCGCGTGACGAGGAATCCCAAGCATTTTACCAGAAGGTTTCCAATCGCGGAGTGTCCACCGATGATGTCCTCTATCACGAAGAGAGCCGCGTTCCAAGAGAGTTGAGGCTCCGTTCGAGTTTTCACGTAATTCAATAGACAGTCCAGGTAGTCTTTCTCGGGGACCACGCCGTTCCAGCTGTTCGACCTTTCAGATATTATGTTGTCGACGATGAACTTGCGAATAGCATGGCTCCAATGCGCCATTCTGGCCATGTTTCTGTGATGCAGCGGAATGAGGAACGGAAGGAAATCGGCGGCGTATCCTTGATTCACCTCGTAGAAAACCTTGTCGAAGTGTAGAACCATTTGGCGGAAACCATTGTGATCGAAGGGGAAGCTCTTCGAGCAGAGGTACGTGATGAAGATATTAGCACAGGAGTGTAGAATCAATGGTTTCGCGTGCACGCCGGTGTTCGACAGCGAGTTCAGATGGTTTATCATGTTGTTCATTTCCATGCGAATGATGCCGTTTAAGTCGTTGTAACGAGCAGAAAAGGCTCGAGGGAACGTGTGAGCTCGTAGCATCTCTCGCCGGCTTTTCTGCATTTCCGACCAGTCACAAAACGCCAGAGCTGTAATATGAAAACAATTTCCTTCTTGAGAAAATTTCTCTCTTTTTTTCTAATACGTTCTAGTTTCAATCATTTGGGAATTCAATGTATACAAAAAATGGGTATTTGGAATGATTTTTTCACTTTGGTCGGATGCATAGTTCGATTTCTGATTTAACGAGTTTCATTGATGCCCACGGAACGAGTTAAACTTGACCTTCGGAAGGCGCTTCGTGATGCGATGACGCGTGTAGGAAACATGTTTCGAAATATTGTCGTCAGGCGAGCGAAAGAAAAAGAGTAGCGCGAAAAATTTGTCGACGCACGTTCTTTCTCCTCTCCCTTTCCGTTCCCGTTTCTCTTTCTCTGTTCCCATCTTTCTCCGACCGTAGGAGAACGCGCACGCGGAAATACAAGGCGCGCGCGTACTCGGCAGAAAATCGATTCATCGGCGCGCGAGCCAGCGGGTCGATTTGAAATCAAAGCGGCTCGCGACCAGACCAGAACAGGAAGTGACCTGGTTTCTCGCGCGCCGCCGGGACACGACGTACGACCGACGGTCGTCGATTTTCGACTTAGCCACGAGAAAAATTTCATACACAGAACGATCTGTCAGGAAACTTTGTTTGTTCGATTGACTACTAATTGTAATATTCCGATGTTGCATCTAAGCGAGAATTTAAAGCGAGAAAAATCTGGTATCGCCTGGTGGATCAGCCTTGATCCTGTTTGCCGGCTGCCAGGTGAGCAAGGAACGCGTGAAAGTGGTACCGTGACCTTTCCGGCTTGCACTTGGTACCGCTTATGCGTTGACCTTAGCACGAGTTTCGGCGTTACCGATGAAAGCACGAGCCACGCGAAAAATAAACGTGCTTGCATTCGTGTGGGCCGACGGTGGCTCACGTGTCATGTACAGTGACAAGGTCGTTAGCATGGGGAACGAGTTTTCAGCAGCCGTGACGAGGTGTCGACGAATTCAATTTTTGTACTGATTCACGCTGAGCCGTTTTCTTTTTTAGATTCATACTTTATGACCGATAGATGGTCCTGACCAGCTCCGCGAGAGGATTACATAATCGTCTTCTGAGCGATTAAAAATTAGCGAGACGAGGCGGCTCGCACGGGAACGAGTCGCCAAGCGCCCGAACAGGACGTCTCATTAATTCCGATCGTTAGGAGCACGATTAATTCTTTTTTTTTAACTTTTGGATTATTGATCGGCGCAAAACGTTTCGCGCCAATTTAGACCGTGGCTCGGATTACAAGGGAACTCGAGAAGGGGTAATGAGAAATTTTCTTACAGTTCTCCTTGTTTCCCCCGAAGAGCAAATTATATCTGATGAAGTTCGGCCTGGAATCGAAGTGGTGTCCCTTGATGTTGAGGACTTCCTTGATGTTCTCCAGCCCGTTGACGACCACGCACGGGACGGATCCCATCCGGAGCTTGATCACCTGGCAGTCGAAGTCCTTAACGAGGTCAGCGAATGCTTTGTAGGGTACGTCGTAGCGTCCCAGGATGTGGAGCGAGCCCAGGATCGGCCACGGCTTCGGACCCGGCGGTTCCGGCAGGGTGTCGTCGTCGTCGACGGCAACGGTCTTGGTGGTCTCCTTCCTAGATCGCAGGTGATCCAGCAGAATCAGGGCGAGCGCCAGGAAGGTGACAGCGATTAGAAAGCACGTGGTCGCTGTCAGTGGGATCATCTTCGGAGCTTCTTCGATGCACTCGCACAACAGGTGGGATTTGGTGGCACCCCGACCTACGGTACCCGGTCACGCAGCGTATTTTCGTGGTGTCCTTAGAAATCTCGTGAATCGAGCGTTTTTTAAAAATGAAATTCTCGTGCAATGGCGCAGTTGTCAGAGGAGACGGGAAGAGATCACTTTCTCCCGGAGGACCGGAACGGTGTCGAACGGACGGCGAGGGATGTGACTGACAGGTTCTGTGTCCCGGTCGCGGGTGTCCCGAACGGATGATGTGTCGTGTGCGTATCTGTGATCGTTGGTAGATCGGTTGGTTGGTCCGTCTGTGAACGGTCTGCCGATCTGGCTCGGTCTGTGGGGATAGGATGGTTGGCCGGCTATCTTATATAGCGGGGCCCGTAATGTAGTCAGCACATTTGCGTCGGCTGTCCGCCTCAACCCCATACATATGGATCCACGGCCGGGACGACGGCGAGAACCGGCGGGCGGGCGGGGGGAGGGGGAGGTTGGTCGGTCTCTCCGTCGTGTGCTCTCTGTCGTAAGTGTATATAACACGACCCGTGGTGTGTTGCCGGTGCTGCTACTGCTGGTAGAGAGACGAATTTCAAGAAAGCAACGAGAGAGCCGACGACGCGACGCGACGGGCTCTCCTCGTCCGTGCGTGGAACGGGAGAGCCCGAAGATGAAGAAGAAGGGCTGGAAAGGTGGAGGGAGCGGAACGGAAGGATGATAGAAGGCATACGCTACACCTGGCGCGGAGGACGGAGGGACAGGCATAGGGGGGAGGATCTCAGAACGGTGAAGGGGCTGGAGGAGCAGGGGATAACGCCACGACGAGAAGAGACGCAGGGAACCAGGCCTCCGGGGAGGGGTTGACGAGTGGAGAGTGGGATCCGTGTAGGGCCCGGAGCCGGGCCAGACTGGGCAACGAAGGGACGCTTCTTGCCCTTGACTTCTCTCCTTAAGGTGCCATCGGGTTTTCTGGCAGCAAGGTGGTGCAGCACCTCGTGAGACCGGCTACTCGCACGTCCAGACCGGACGCGTTTCATTCCGCTCTTATTTCGAGGTACTTGTCGCTTATCCGATTCGGGACGCTGCTTACGACGCTTCCACATTGGCCCTTCGCTCCCAGTACCAACGCCCAACCTGAAAATCATTGGTTTTCCCCGATGGAGAACTAGCCTCGTTAACTTCGCGCCGGCTTTCGAGGATAATTTAAGCCCGAGAGCCATTCAGGGGTGACTTAACGACCATGGCAGAACGACGCAGGGATGAATTCTTAAACGAGTTTCGCGCCGAGAAGGATGCCCGTATTTTATAAGGAAAACTGGTGTAAAACATCTGGTTTCACCTTCTGCGATTAATTCTATCTTCGCCAATTATCTCACAAGTCTGTTCGCACATTTTTCTAATAAATCAAATAAATATATTTCCGGTAAAAGATTTCTTCGACGATCCGGTGAAACATAATAACACAAAAGTCGAAAGTACGCACTGCTTTCGTTGTCTCGATGGTCGAACCGGACACTTTGCTTACGGCTGCAAATTTTATTAAACACAATTCGACTATTCTTTCGATACGGGAAAATCGCTTCTACTGTAGCAAATAAAAGAATAACGAAGTTCCAATAAGAAAAATATCGGAAACGTCGATCGATGTCTTAGCTGCCTGGCCAGCGTCGCAGGGACTCATAGGCAAAAATCGTCGGCTGCGCGTGAACGTCGAACACGACGCCGGTCATAGTAGGTCAGTTCAGTAGAATCGAATTTAAGTCAGACACAATAATATCCGACGTCGGATCTATCCGATCCACGACGCAACTCGAGAACTTTCCTCGGAACATTTGGACAGCCGAACAACAACTCCTACGAGTTTATAATAAAAATGCTTAGCAGGAGATTTTCGATGGTGTCATGAAAAATTCCATAACAAGCCAATAATTCCATGAAAACAACATTCCACGCGATCGAACCCTTGGAATGCCACTTCTCTCTCCCACGAATGTCATTTAAAAATGTGTGAAATGAAGAATGAAAACGGTCGAACGAAGTTTAGATTAAATGGAAAATGAGCCTCCGAGGCGAATGTTGAAAACGGTTGGAACATCCCTGAATGGGAAGTTGGCCCTGAAAGCTCGGATGAGAGAAGGACACGACGCGTTATCGTTATCAGCGTCGATGAGGAAGCACGCGACGAAGAGTACGCTTCGAATTCGTTTGAATCGTTGAATAAAACATGAGGCAGTGGTGTGTATGGTTGTGCGAGAGTACGTGCGAGAACTTCCCCTACCTGTCCGATATTCCCCACCCCATTTCCATCGCGGGACAGCCTTTTTTCCCCTCTTGCGAGGCAATGCGACAGTAGGAGATTGCTTCATCCGTATCGGGAGGCATTATCCAGCGTCGATTTCTGGGAAGCTAGCGGTACCGGCCTCTGACCGGCGGCTCGAAATCAGCTTAGAGAGGAGGCGCGTAACGGGAAAGCTCTCGGACTCTTCTGCGCGGACCCGAAGAAGCTCGTTTTCGTTTCGTCTCGCACAATTTTTCATTTCGCTTTCGATACGAATCGGCCGAGTCTTCTATAGAAACCGCGTAGAAATCGTTTACAAAGGGGTAAATATCGCAACGAGGAAACATCTCTTCTCGTTGAGCGAGATGATCGGGCCTCGCACGCGAAACAAAATTGCTCGTCTATCGAAACGATCCCAGTCACGTGATGATTCTTAAAAATTAGAGGGAGCCTTGTCAATCTTTCCGACGAGAAGGAGAGATCGCTGGTACTCTGTTTCCAAACATGAAATTATTTGGTAGCAGAGATGGCAGGTTTAGGCGGGGCGAATTTGGACCGAAAAAGGATCAATGAGACACCGGCGTTTCTGCCCGAGACCGAATTATATGGAATCGGCTACCGGATTCGTGGAAGACGGCCGTGTTTTCTCGCAATCTTGGCTCGATCTTGATCCCACGCGAGCGGGGCGCCTTGGACAAGCGGAATTTCAAGATCGCGACGCGTCCGCGAAAAGCGAGACGAACCGAGAGGCAGAGGTGGGTCGATTTGATCCGTTCGACGGATATTGAAAACCGGCCAGATTCAATGAAGGTCTCCGCGTCGACCAAAATCAAGGCTTCCCTTCGTTTAACGATGAAGTATTGAGATACCTCGGCTTATCCTTATGTTATAGTACCGAGCAAGTTTTATTTTTATCGCTACAGCCGGACCGTGTTTGTTGTACCTTCTAGCAATGAATTTTTAGACTCAATCGTAACTTAGATTTATCGATCTTATATTAAGAAAAATGAGAGTAAAATATAATGAGGCAGCTAAAACAAGCATAGATTGTTCTAGCAAGAAGAGTGAATCCGAAGAAAGTGAGACAACCATTGCGGTTCGGTGACACACTTTTCAGAAAGAAAAGTGAAACAGCAGTGACGTCAGAATGACAGAAATGAAATGAAATCTTCGAATTTGCACTAAAAGGAATTACATAAACCCGCACTATTTCCCAGCGAGGCATTTTTAATTAATATCGTAAATCCAATCTTAATTGGTCAGAAGAATTTCTTGCCAATGAGCGATACTTATGTCAGCAATTGAAAATTGCAAGAGGCGAAAGTAACATTTATTTCACGTGGAAGATACCGATACTGGTAGTGGCGATGCTGCCATAGATTGATCGCCGAGATAAAATGGCTGCTTGGTATTCGTATTCGTACTGCTGGCCGAAGGCGAGCAGTGCCGAAAATCAAGGCTGCTTGAATATTAGCGACGAATAAAATCGACGGACGGTGTTCCTCGCGTTAGACCAGACCTCGTCCTTCTCTCAAGGTTCCTTAGACGGCAGAAATTAGCTTCGAATACATTGCGGAGATACATATCGAGGTCTGATAAGCTACGGAGATAATCGAAATTAAGGAATATCATACGGCCAACTCTTAAATTCCCTTATCACTTTACACACAGTGACGTCAATTTTAAACTCATATCGACATATGCAAGTTCGGTATTAAATAATTATCAGATATTGGATTCACTAGTCGGATGAATGGTCTAGAAAGATGTAAGAACTAAAGAGTTCAAGAATATTCCACTATCCTGGATAGAAGTCGGTTCCGGCTATGAGGTCACCAGTTATGTAAGAAATTATTGAAAATGTAACGGCTCGTCTCCCACTTTCCTGCTCTTTATCCCTTCTCTCCTGCATCGGGAAAGAGCGCGTCCCGGTGACGTTGATGTCGTTGATCTGCATGTAGCGGTCGTGCATTACGTTCTAACGGTCAAGAGAACGATTTATACTATGCTTAAGTGCACACAGTTGTCTGATCTTTTATTGCAAAACATATTTTTCTATCGTCAAATCGTTCGATTATTCGTCAATTGTTCGATAATATTCCACGTATTATCTCAGTTTTTAATATAAATGACCTTTATATACGAGGATCTGATAATTATTTGATATCGTAACAAATAATAGATTTGTCGTGCTTACGTTGGCCAAGGGACAAACGGGCACAGGGACTTAGCATGGTGTCGCACGTTGGCTTGCAAAATTCGCGACAGATACATTTATGGAGGTGCCGCGACCGCTACCGACTCGCGGTTTTAACGCTATCGATGAATCGTTATGGAGTGCACGCGGGTCATGTTAATGCCAATCGAAGGTAAAAGTTTTTTCTGTCTCGCGACCGGGATTCAGGAAGTCTTGCACGTCTCGCACTGGACTCGGGACGTTGCATAACCCGGCGCCGAGCTGTGATCACGTTCGCACCGCGAAATCGATCATTAGGATCTATCGAGGTTGCCGAGTTCGTGATCACCTCTCCCTTGAAATCGTTAGATCTCAAGAACAGCTAGTCGCGCTACATTTTCGATTCGCGAACTTGATAAGTATCGAGACAGATCTTCATGGTAAAAATCGATCGAGTAATGACAACTGCGTACATGCTGTATCAGTATAAGTAAATTTTACTTCTGACAGGACTACCCTCGCTATGATGTTCATCGGCGCAGGAATTAAATCTGGAGAGTAAGTGCATACCGAGGTAAAAGGGGCGAAGGAGAAAGAGAGAATAGCGCTGTTGCACCTGCGTCACCCACCACGTGGGGTGCCACGGTACCCCGGCCCCGATTACGACACTCTTCCGTGTCGATTTATCTCGAAGACCGGCCGGCCGACCGGCCGGCTACCCGACAGGAGTGACAGAAACGACGACTACACCTCGCAGAGAACCGGTTTTCGGGGCCTCATTCGTTTGAATGTCGCATCGTATAATTTCACCCAGGGACGAACTTTCGCGACGAGCGTCCAATTACTCCCGAGTCGTTCCGATAAAAGGGAAATTAGCTTGGGTCAGTTTGGTACCATTCGAAAACGACTCCTACCGAAAATCGAAAGTACCCTCGTACTC